CATTGCCGCCATCATAACTGCCACCAAGATGACGGCCAGCCCCCGCCATCATCACGATGGCAATTGCCAGGCAGCCGCCGTTATCATGATGATGACAGCTAGTCAGCCTCAGCAGCCACTACAGCAATGACCAGCCAGTCCCTATCATCGCTGCCATCACCCTATGTATATTCACGATAATTACAGATTTTATTTTATTTTATTTTGTCAAGTTCTTAATAATACCTTCCACACTCTCCCTCTCCTCTTTTATGTAATTACCAATAACAACCTTTAAGTATATATTTTATTTTTTTATTAACACATCGGCCGATTCCCACCAAGGCAGGGTGGCCCGAAAAAGAAAATCTTTCATCATCATTCACTCCACGTACTTACCTTAAACATTGCAGCCTCAGGAGAACCTAGCTCAATGAATGGGGGATTACCTGTTGCCATTTCTACTATCGTACAGCCTAAGGACCAGATATCAGCCTGAAGAAAGAGATGAACAGTTGAAGTGACACAAAATTTAAATTCCATGCAATTAAATATGTAATAATCACTGTTATATGTATTTTTTTAACATACTAGCCATCTCCCACCAAGACAGGTTGACCCAAAAAAAAAAAGACACATTTTAACCATCATTCACATTATCATTGTCTTGCCACAATCACAGAAGCTATTCTTGTAATGTCTCATCTTCTGTAATTGACATCACACACATTTTTAAAATGGGATTCTATCTTCTTGAATTCACATTTTTCAAGTTTCCAGTATATGTAACACATACTGCTCTACATCCTCCTCAATCACATTCTTGCCCTCAATCACTAATTGTAAAGAGAGGCTTTCTATGGTCCTTCCTACACATTTAATTTTTGTAATATAAAACTGTGTCGTCTTTGCTTTCCTATTGTTGCTACAGAAACATTTTTATCTATGTTGACATATCCCTTCATGCCATTATCACTTCCTGTCCCCCAACAAGGGTGTTTCCTGTATCTTCAGTTTTCCTTTTTAAATCATATTTGCACTTGTAAACTGTTCCCTTTATGACATATATCATAAAGGGAGCAAGGGGCTAGTAACCCCTTCTCCTGTATAAGTTACTAAATTTAAAAAGAGAAACTTTTGTTTTTCTTTTTGGGCCACCCTGCCTCAGTGGGATATGGCTGGATTGTTGAAAGAAAGAAATGTGTTATAAACTTTTTGGAGTTTTAACACAACAGTCTTCTCCCACCAAGGTAGAGCGACTCAAAAGATGAAGAAACACTTTCAATATTATTCACTCTATTACAGTCTTGCCAGAGTTGCACCAATACTGCCCACCTCCAGGACTCAGTCCAACTAACCAGTATCTCTCCATCCTGACACAGTTATTGCTATAAATATTGAATTGAATTATTAAAGTGCCTGGAGGTTATAATTCATTGAATTATTGTGATGTGAACTTTACTGCATTTTTTGTCTGTATAAACACACTACAATTTTTTTTTACATTCAATGGCCATATCCTGCCAAGGCAGGGTGACCCAAGGTATGCAGCGTTTTTCTAATTAATCATAACCAACGTACAAGAACTGTTAAATTGCATATATCATAAAAGAAAAAAAAAACCTGAGCAAGTGAGTGTGCTCTGTCTTAAACTGACCGGAGCTCCATATCCTCTGGCTCCTTTATCAATGACTTCAGGTGCCATGTACTGTAGAGTTCCTGTGAAAGTCTCAGTGCTGAGGCAGACTCCTGCCAGCCTCTTAGATGTACCAAAATCTGAGATCTTTACCACTCCTGTATATGTATTGACTAGAACATTATCACCTGTGGAGAGAGAGAGAAAATGATAAAGAATTGTATCAGAATTTCTAAAATAATTATGGAAGATAATCTGGCTCACATGGAAAATAAATAGAGTACATAGTATACATGTGCCTTACTTGTGGAAAAGTTTCACTATCCTGCACTAACAAATTAATATTGATGGAAGGAAACAGAATGACTTCGAGAGCGAATAAATCTGTGGTGGAGAGAAGGCGGGGTAGGGGTTGGCCTAGGAAAGGTTGGAGGGAAGGGTAAAGGAGGTTTTGTGTGCGAGAGGCTTGGACTTCTAGCAAGAGTGCGCGAGCATGTTAGGTAGGAGCGAATGGAGACAAATGGCTTTTAGGCCTTAACGTGCTGTTGGAGTGTGAGCAAGGTATCATTTATGAAGGGGTTCAGGGAAACCAGTAGGCCGAACTTGAGTCCTGAAGATGGGAAGTAAGTGTCTAGACACTGAAGGAGGGGTGTTAATGTTGCAGTTTTATAACTGTGGTGTAAATGTGCCTCTAGCAAGACAGTGATGGAGTGAATGATGATGAAAATTTTTCTTTTTCGGGCCACCCTGCCTTGATGGGAGATGGCCGACGTGTTAATAAGAAAACAATTATGAACATAAGACAAATGAACTGATATATATAGTATATATATATTCCAATTTTCTTATTCTTATTCTTTTTAGTAATCTTTACAGGAAAAGGGGTTACTAGCCCATTGTTCCCGGCATTTTAGTTGACTTTTACAACACGCATGGCTTACGGAGGAAAGATTCTTATTCCACTTCCCCATTGATACAAAAGGAAAAGTAATAAGACCAAGAACTATTAAGATAAAATCAAAGAAAACTCAGATGAGTGTGTATAAATAAACGTGTACATGTATGTGTAGTGTGACCTAAGTGTAAGTAGAAGTAGCAAGACATGCCTGTAATCTTGCATATTTATGAGACAGACAAAAGACACCAGCAATCCTACCATCATGTAAAACAATTACAGGCTTTCGTTTCACACTCACTTGGCAGGACGGTAGTACCTCCCTGGGTGGTTGCTGTCTACCAGCGAGGAGACAGTTGGAGGCAGTGGAGATGTCCTGTCTAAGGGCAATGTGTGGTGTAAATATTATGCAGAAAATTCGGAGTGTGGAAATTAGGAGGTGTGGAGTTAATAAAAGCATTAGTCAGAGGGCAGAAGAGGGGTTGTTGAGGTGGTTTGGTCATTTAGAGAGAATGGATCAAAGTAGAATGACATGGAAAGCATATAAATCTATAGGGGAAGGAAGGAGGGGTAAGGGTCGTCCTCGAAAGGGTTGGAGAGAGGGGGTAAAGGAGGTTTTGTGGGCGAGGGGCTTGGACTTCCAGCAAGCGTGCGTGAGCATGTTAGATAGGAGTGAATGGAGACGAATGATACTTGGGACCTGACGATCTGTTGGAGTGTGAGCAGGGTAATATTTAGTGAAGGGATTCAGGGAAACCAGTTATTTTCATATAGTCGGACTTGAGTCCTGGAAATGGGAAGTACAATGCCTGCACTTTAAAGGAGGGGTTTGGGATATTGGCAGTTTGGAGGGATATGTTGTGTACCTTTATACGTATATGCTTCTAAACTGTTGTATTCTGAGCACCTCTGCAAAAGCAGTGATAATGTGTGAGTGTGGTGAAAGTGTTGAATGATGATGAAAGCATTTTCTTTTTGGGGCTTTTCTTTCTTTTTTGGGTCACCCTGCCTCGGTGGGAGATGGCCGACTTGTTGAAAAAAAAAAAAAATGTATTTGTATGTGTGTGTGTGTGTGTGTGTGTGTGTGTGCGCGCGCGCGCACATGTGTGTGCACGTGTGTGTGTGTGTGTGTGTGTGTGTGTGTGTGTGTGGTGTGTGTGGTGTGTGTGGTGTGTGTGGTGTGTGTGTGTGTGTGGTGTGTGTGTGTGGTGTGTGTGTGTGTGTGTTTGTGTGTGTGTGTGGTGTGTGTGTGTGTGTGTGTGTGTGTGTGTGTGTGTGTGTGTGGTGTGTGTGTGGTGTGTGTGTGTGTGTGGTGTGTGTGTGTGTGGTGTGTGTGTGTGTGTGTGTGGTGTGTGTGTGTGTGTGTGTGTGGTGTGTGTGTGGTGTGTGTGTGGTGTGTGTGTGTGTGTTGTGTGTGGTGTGTGTGTGGTGTGGTGTGTGTGTTGTGTGTGTGTGTGGTGTGTGTGTGTGTGTGTGTTGTGGTGTTGTGTGGTGTGTGTGTGGTGTGTGTTGTGTGTGTGTGTGTGGTGTGTGTGTGGTGTGTTGTGTGGTGTGTGTGTGTGTTGTGTGTGTGGTGTGTGTGGTGTGTGTGTGTGTGTGTTGTGGTGTGTGTGTGTGTGTGTGGTGTGGTGTGTGGTGTGTGTGTGTGTGTGTGTGTGTGTGTGTGTGGTGTGTGTGTGTGTGTGTGTGTTGTGTGTGTGTGGTGTGTGTGTGTGTGTGTGTGTGTGGTGTGTGTGTGTGTGTGTGTGTGTGTGTGTGTGTGTGTGTGTGTGTGTGTGTGTGTGTGTGTTTGTGTGTGGCGCGCCGCATGTGTGTGTGTGTGCGTGCATGTGTGTGTGTGTGCATGTGTGCACGTGTGTGCATGTGTGTGTGCACGTGTGTGCATGTGCATGTATGTGGCCATCTCCCACTGAGGTAAAGTGACCCAAAAAAGAAATACTTTCAACATCATTCACTCTATTGCTGTTTTGTCAGAGGTGCATTGATACTACAGTTTAGATGCTCCTCCAAACTACAAGTATCCCCAACCCTTCTTTAATGTGGAGACACTGTACTTCCCACCTCCAGAACTCAGGTCCGGCTAAGCACTTTAGCATGTAATGTCTTACTTAACAATATAAACTAAATAGCCAAACAAGGCTTAAGTCTGATTATAATCTACTGACAAATCATCAATATGTAAAGTATTGGCAACTCTGGGATTTAGCTAAATTGTCATATAATGGATAGCCACAGAATTGGATTACAGTGCATATTTTCAACTATTTTTGACAAAATGCTAACCCGAGATAATTTAGAATATAGGGTTTGAAAAAGTTACAACTATTTAATGTAATTTTTCTTACTTGTCTTTTGCAGGTTTTCATAACTAAATTCTTTATCTCTGAAGTGAAGTGATACAATACAGAAGCTCACCCCCTTAAGGTTAGTCATCTAGCTTATTTAATACAAAACTGAAATATTTTTCGATATAAATGGCAAGCCTTAATGCCATAGCCCACAATGTTACAGTTCATGATTCAACGACAAAAACTGCACTCACATCGGCACAAAACAACAAGCAGAACAAACCTTTAATATCTCTATGCACAATCTTCTGATCGTGGAGATACTTTAATCCCTCTAGAATCTGCTTAGTATAATAGGCTATAGTTGCTTCATTCTCCTTCAAAGGTCCCCACTTTGATCTAAGGAGGGCAGATAATGACCCTCCTGGCACCTGTTCCATGAAGATCTTGAAAAAGCCATCTTCTGAAGCTGTCCCCAAATACTGTACAATGTTACGATGTCGTAGCTCCGAGTGAAGCTTGATCTCTTCATGCAAGGGCTGAACTTCTCTAAAGGAATATATGACAAGTAATAAAGACATAACAAATAATAAAAAAATCTATAGTCACATTACCAGTAATCATTACTGTTTTATAGTTTCCTTCAAAACATTCTCTTTATTCAATCTAAATCTCCTGAATTGTGTATTACAAGCTGTTACCATTAATACAAGCTGAAGTGACTTATTAACATGCCAAGTTTGGAACAGTAGCAAACAACAGTATATGGCTAAATGTCTGTTATTTGCTGAAATATAAGTTTCACTTACCCAATATTTTTTTCTGGCACTTCTTTAACAGCAATCCTAACTTGAGTGTTGAGGTCTCTGGCAGCATAAACAACACCATACGTACCCTTGCCCAGAACCATTCGCTTCCCACTGTCATCCAATTCATACTCGTACTGCAAATAAAAAATTGCACATTCCATGCAGAGCATTAAAAAATGATTTTTGCAACTAAAATCTACAGACAATTTCCAACTCAAAATGACCACCCAATATAGTTTCATGTGGTTAGAGTAAACATTATTCAAGAAATTTTTATTTTTTCCTTCATTTTGAAAGGTGTTAATGAGAAGCGGTACAGAGGAAAGAAAAAAGAAAAAAGGTGAGACTGAACCCTAAGGCATTTTTCATTGCTAAGCAAAATTATCCTAATTGAACTTCCACTAATCGGGGATTATTGTATCCAGTGACAGAAAAAATTAACAACATTCTTAGATACCTGAATAGGGCCTGAAGATATTTCAGCTTCCAAGTCCATGACAGTACCCTTTTGGTTTACAGTAAGCTCCTGCACCAAACGAAAAAAGATGAGGCGACACTGTTCAGACGGAAAAAACATTTGGAAGTCATCCGAGTTTTCTTGAACATACAGGAAAACCGCTCGCTCATCTCGTTTATAGAGCCTGGAACATATATTTTACAAATTGAAAAACTGAAAAACACTAAGCATTCAGTTCTACATAACACATGTGAATGAGATGACAGGAGAGAGGTGGAGGGAAACTGAAATAAAAAATAAAAACAGGTTATTTGAAATGCAAGATATTTCTTTCAAACTTTATGGACTGTGCTTCATGCCAAGAACAGAGGGAAGATAAGAGATCTGAAGAGCATTTTGACCTGGCAATAAAGAATAAATACAATATATAGCAACCAGTGGCTTCCTGAGGAACCAACTGGTTGGCAAAAATATTTCCACAATAAAGATACAAACCATACCACGGGCAGGGATAGAACCCACGATCAGAGAGTCATAGAACTCCAGACCAACGTGTTTAGCCACTGGGCCAGCTGGCTACAATAAGATTCATTTAAATAGGTATATTTATACACCAGGAAGGTTAGCATAGGCACCACTGTGACCACAAATGCAAGTATTTTACAGACGAATCTCCCGCCAGCGTGGTTCTATCCCCACCCGTGGTATGGTTTGTTTGCAATCATGTCATTACAATTTCACGAGTCATGATGACAGCTTTGAGGGGACTTGAACTAGTTAGTCATGGCCACGCTGGTGGGAGATTCGTCTGTAAAAACTTGCATTTGTAGTCACAATGGTGCCTATGCTAACCTTCCTATAGTGTATAAATATACCTAGTTGGACAAATATTATTATAGCCAGCTTGCCCAGTGGCTAACACATCAGTCTGGAGTTTTATGACTCTGATCGCGGGTTCTATCCCCGCTCATAGTAAGGTTTGTTTGCAATCATGTCATTATGATTTTGCGAGTCTTGTTAACCCTTAAACTGTCCAAACGGAGATCTACGTTCACATGCGTAGCACTCAGACCTTGATTTTCCCCATTTGAAAGCACGTAAAAAAAACGTAGATCTACGCCCGGAGCCCGCCGCACGTCAACATATATCTACGTTTGGACAGTTTAAGGGTTAATAAAGATACTCAAGTGTTGCACAAGTGTCTAATTCATCAACCTGTCAGTTCTCTGAACCATTTATCTACATACTTATAAACTGCATACTGAGTGGACTTTTATGGACAATTGCATAAAAATACTTAATATGAGAGAGAAACGAGAGGAAGGGAAACAACAAGGGATGCATAAGGCTCACGTGATAGTTTTAATGCTAGAGGCATTGAAGAGCCAGTCATGGACCTGTCGACAGTTTCCTTTCATTTGATCTAGACACAAGTTCCAGACCTGGATGCTTTTCTCTTCTGCTCCAAGGTTCACAGTCACATAGCTTGGTAAGTAATAACTTGGTTGGTACATTCTTGTTGGTTCTAATATCAAAATCTGGGAAAGAAACAAAATAGCATAGTTGTTAAACTAAGAGTGTTACACTACTAATTGCAATACTGATGTAGAATACATACACTACTGTATTTTTTTTTTCAACAAACTGGCTGTATTCCAATGAGGCAGGGTAACACAAAAAGAAAAATACAAGTTTTTCTTTTTAAATTTCGTAATTTATATAGGAGAAAGGGACTAGTCCCTTGCTCCCAGCATTTTAGTCACCTGACTCAAGAAATCGTAATGACACGATTGCAAACAAACCATACCCCCGGCCGGGATTGAACCCGCGGTCGTAGAGTCTCAAAACTCCAGCCCGTCGCGTTAGCCACTAGACCAGCTAGACCTAGTTGGATGAATCATATTGTGGCTAGCTGGTCTAGTGGCTAATGCGACGGGCTGGAGTTTTGAGACTCTATGACCGAGGGTTCAATCCCGGCCGGGGGTATGGTTTTTTAGTCACCTCTTACAACAAGCATGGCTTACAGAGGAAGAATTCTTTTCCACTTCCCCATGGATATAAAAAGAAAATAATAAGAACAAGAACTATTAAGAAAAATCAAAGAAAACTCGGATGAGTGTGTATACATAAATATGTACATGCATGTGTAGTGCAAAAACAGTGATAATGTGTGAGTGTGGTGAAAATGTTGAATGATGAAAGTATTTTATTTTTGGGGATTTTCTTTCTTTTTTGGGTCACACTGCCTCGGTGGGAGATGGCCTTCTTGTTGAAAAAAAAAAAAATGTGTAGTGTGACCTAAGTGTAAGTAAAAGTATTAAAAATATAATAATTTGAAATCAATTAGCAATTACTGAAACTGTATTACACGTGTAAATAATGTATTACCAAATACAGTCCTTAATCTTGCAATTAATTAATGAATATTGTTATGATCTACTGATGCATATTATCAGTTTTTATGGGATATGGCAGAAAAGAGAAGGCAGTCTTACTGGAAATCTGATGACATCCCCAAGCTCAGTTTTGGTAGCTTCCACAAAATAATCAATCCAGAAGTTGAAGATCGTCTCCTCTGGTCCTGGCTCAGTGTCTTCAGGACGCTTCCTGAACCGGTTGATAAGCATAATATTGCCAATTGTGGATTTCAGGTACCTAAAGCAACAAATTTTAATTCTGATTTAATAACATAAGACAAAGCCTATAAAAATCATTTATTAAACAAAATAGGTCATCTTAGATGTGCATACCATTTGGCTAATTGTCAGAATGACAACCCAGTATTACCATATTTATCATTATGTTGTGGATACAGTTCTGTAATATAATGAGCATCATTAAGTTTTATCATAAAATAGAGAATTACGTGGAGTCAATCTTCTATATTCCTCAACAGGTTTGCAGTAATGTATCAGAGACTCAAATTATTCAACAATAATGTTTTTGAATGAAAACTAAATTAGCTTTAAAACTTAAGGATTCCTCACAGTATACAACATACCAGTTTGGAGGCTTTAACTTGAACATACATTCAGCTGCCTGAACAGCCTTCCCGTAGTCTTCTGCTAAAACACTAATCTCAAAGAAGGTTGCTACATCCCAGTAATCTTCTAGAGATGATAGGGAACCTTTCTTACCAATAAGGTTATTGAGAACCCTTCCTGGAAATGCAAAGATCCTTTGAAAATTGTAACTGAAAGGTCAGGGGGCAATTTCAATTGTGATATTTGTGCACTTTTGAAAAAGCCTATTATGAGAGATAGTAGATGCATTTTTTTTTTTTGAGTGGAAATGGCAGTGGTAAAAAACAAATTCATTACATGAATGCCAAATTTAGAATTGGCAAATTAAGCTTAAACATTCAAAAAGGCTGTCATTTTTCCATCAACCTTGCAGTTTTTTAAAACAAAATATGTACTGTACTTCCAAATGTCATTAATTTTCATAATAACAAAATTTAATTAGCAGTCATTTGATATCAAAATGTTGTAAATAGCACATTTCATATTAATTAATTAATTAATAATGCTTTAAGGAAAACTAAAGAACATTTTAGTTACCAGATTCAATTTATCATAATTTGAATTTAGTTACTAATACTACTTTTTTAACACCAACTGCAAAATATTTATGTATTTTGATATGAAACTATGGAGAAATGTATCAAAAAGTGGATTTATATTAAGCTCTCAAAATTTACTATATAAATAGGATGCACAAAAGGAAATCATAAAATTATAAATAGTATCAGTTCACTGCATAGCTGCTTGATTAACACTTTGAGGGTTGACAGGCCCTCTCCGAGACTCATTCTCAGGGTCGGCCAAATTTAAAAAAAAAAAAAAATTCTTATGAAAAGATAGAGAATCTTTTCCCGATCATAATGACACCAAAAGTATGAAATTTGATGGAAAACTTATGGAATTATGCTCTCGTGAAGTTAGCGGTCTCGGCAATGTTTACGCATCAGCGATTTTGCCCACTTTGAGCCCCATTTTCGGCCAATTCCACTGTACTAGTCGACAAAAAACATGAATATTTCGCTAGAACTCCGTTTTTTCTATCGAATGAGTGCAAGAAACCACCCATTTACCAATTTCAACTATCCAGTACAGTGATAAGATTTTAGCAGTTTTGCCAATTTCACACAAATTTCAAAAGATGCCAATTTCCAAATAGGGTCTAGAATAAACAAGAAAGACATTCCTGGCACTAAAATGACATTTCCTCTGTTCATTAGTCACGTCTCAAGGCCCATCTTACATTCTTTTGCTTTCCACTTTGAATTTTTATTCTCACAAAAAATAGAAGATTTACTGTTATGCAGACTACTGCATTAGTGTAAAAAATGGTATAAATAATAATGGCGCACTTGCGAAAGAGTATCAGACTCACCAGTTGAGATGTATTGGACGCTTGGCATGATTTGTTTACTTTTGAACTTTGGTAAAAATCAAACATTTCTGCTACTTTGAGCTCAATTTCAAGGTACTTTTCATTGTAAAACCAGTCAAAATCATCTCAATTTCTGTAATATGTCTTCCATTCTATAAAATGAGACCAAGAAAACTAGAATACAACAATAAATACCATACAAAAATACAGTGCAAAGTCGCTGTTTTATTCCAAAAAAACGGTCAGTTTTTTTTTTCTCATTATGCACTGTGTGCTGCAGGATTTTTTTTATACTGTGCACACTGACCACATAGACCCATTCTTTCATATGTAGGCCTACCAGCTTTCTCCCACTAGATTTGAGGGCGCTAGAATTTAGGCATACTAGTACGTCAAAAACCCTGGGTCGTAAGCCATACTAGTACGGCCGAAACCCTCAAAGGGTTAATATACATTCATAGGGAAATGTTAAACCCACAGTGACTATCCATCGCCTGGGTAATGGGTAGTAGTAGTAGAAGGTGAGAGATTTTCAGCCCGGGAAGTCAGAGGTAATCAGGTTTGATCCTACAAGGAAAGAAATAGTTACACATCCTTGGAACAAGAACCCATCATCAGCATCAAGACAACCTTCCCCTAATGCTGGAAAGAATTAAGAAGTTCCATCTTACCTATGTGTTTCAGTTCTGCTGATTTTGAGAAGTCATTGCCAGCTATAACAAGCAGTGTAGCCAGGTTTATGCCAGCATATTCATTTGGCTGCACTTCAAAGCCTTTTCTGTACCAGTAAATCGCATTATGCAGACTGTCCTTATCCGTGTGCTGAGATTCAACAAATTTATCCTGTAAAAAAAAAAAAAAAAAATCCAAGAAATAATATTACTAATGTATCAATAAAAACTAACTGGTACACAAAATGTGCACAACTACTTAAAAGAGCACTTATAAAGAAAACTGCACACACTGACCACTCAGACTCATTCTCTCATATGTATGCCTGCCAGCTTTCTCCCGCAAGATTAGAAACCGCTAGAATTTTGGCGTAGTATTACGGGACTGACACTGGCTTGCAAGCCGTAATATTATGGGACCAACAGTGAAAGGGTTAAATGGCACATTACCTTATATATTCTACCACAGAGGCACACCATGTCAGGTACTTCATTCTCTTTCTTTTCTAATGCTTTTGTGATCACAGCAAGGGCCTTCTCTCGGTCACCTTCCATATTTCGTCTGAATAAAGAATTAAATGGTGGTGCGTTAATGGCAGCAGTAGTATATAGAACCAACAGAAAGTATCACAAGACAATGAAAAGCTGATATGAAGCAAGTGAAAATATCTTATTATGTGGTGAAGTATACCAACACCATCTCAGAGGGAAATAATCAGAAAAAATAATTAAAGCAGAACTTGTATTACCATTTAGCATTATGGTGAATGTAAGAAAATATAAAACTTACCTATTTAGTGCAAATCCATACAAGAACCTAATAGCAGGAGTGCTGGTATAAAGTTTACGGTTAGGAATAGTCTTGAGATCATCTACCAGCTGAACCATTGCATCATAATCCTGTAACAAAAGTAGCAGTGATAGCATAGTCTATACGTATTTGCTGTATATATTATATATTAGCTGAACCACTGCCTCATAATCTTGTAATACAACTGCACCTCAAAAGTAGCAATTCGACACAATTTCAAGATTTTGGTCAGCTATAATGAGTAAAATTTACTGAAGGAATTTTCAAATGACATTTCCAAATATACTTTTCACAAATTATATTACAATCTACATTTCAAAAATCCACCATAAAAGCATATTAATACAAAAATTTACATTATGCAGTACCTGGATCTCACGTAATGATATCAACATATTGAGAACAACATCAACAGACAAAATATTTGGGTCATCTAATCGTCTTCGAAGATTGTGTAGCTGCTTCTTGAGCTCATCTCCAGAGAACACATCCCGAGCTTTACGGAGATCAGCTAGGAATTTCTCCTTCATGTGAGCTCTGAAATCAAAAGTGACAAGTAAAGCACTGTAAGTCCTGTAATTCAAAAACGATATTCAAAATGATCTGTTCGAGTACCGAACGAATTTTTCCAATAAGGAATAATGTAAATTAGATTAATCCATTTCAGACCCCCAAAAATAGTTACAAAAGCATTTAAATATGAAGTTTACAAGCCTAGCATGCATAAATCTAAAAAATAAAAAAAATAAACACACTGCTTGTTTATCCGAGTGACAGACAAGCAAAGGCTTCACTTTTAATTTAATAACCAACTTGGGGAAGGAAGGTAGGAAAGAGGACTAAAGATCTTCCTTGGAAGTGTTGGAGGGAGGAAGGTAAAGGAGGTTTTAAAGTGTCAGGGACAAACATTAAGCAGGCATTTGTAAGCATGTTAGACAGGTGGTTTTTATGGTTTGATGTATTGCTGAAGTGTAATAAAGGTAACATTTATAAAAGCATTAAGGAAAACTGGTAAGCCGTCCAAACCCAAGTCCTGGAGGTGGGAAATAAAGTGCCTTCACTCTTAAGGAAATGTAAGAAAATTGCAATACATGGGGTCATTTAAATAGTGATATTTCTGGCAAGATAATTGAGTGAGTGATGGTGAATGTGTTTTATTTTAATTTTGTTACCCTACCTCAGTTGTCAACAGCAAGTGAAAAATAAAAAATAACTGGATCAGTCCAGCATGAATAAATCATTTGATATCAAAACAGCTACTTACTTAGACTGAATTTCCACATCTTGTAATTGTCTACGAAGTTTCGTAGAAAGAAGTATTCTAGAGTCAGAAGGAATATTGTCATCCGCTCCAATTCTCATGCTGGGATCTGTCAAGACACACTGGCCTGAGTCCAGGAGGCGGTATGATATGAAAATGTAGCTGCTGCACGAAAACTGAAAAAAATACAGTAATTATCTTAGCTTGGATTTTTTACATACTAGATTTAAGCTTTAAGATAAACATAGCAAAGCTTCCAAGTCTCTATCACAGATCTCAACAGAATTTTTTTTTTTCAGCACACCAGCCATCTCCCACTGATGCAGGGTGACCCAAACAAAAGAAGAAAAAGTTATTCTTCTTTTTACATTTAGTAATTTATACAGGAGAGGGGGTTACTAGCCCCTTGCTCCCAGCACTTTTAGTAGCCTCTTATGACATGCACGGCTTACAGAGGAAGGGTTCTTCTCCACTTCCCCATGGAATATATCACCAGATATAAGTTTAGAAGTTATATAAACACAGCAAAGCCTCTGAATCTCTATCACATAATCATTATTATATTCATGGCAAAGTAACAAACCCATAGCAATCACATGGTGGCTGGGGAATGTGAGGTACACAGGCTTGATCCAAGGAAGAGAAAGGTAACCCTAATTCCCTGGATCAAAAGCTGTTTGCCATCAAGGAAACCTCTCCCCCTCTTGAAGGGGTATCTATCACAGCTATCAACAGATATGGTTCTATAAGATAAATAAACACCATTCCTCAAAACATAGCCAAAAGCCAATCCTTCCTGAACAGAACCACTGCCATCACCTCAAGTCTACCCACACCTTACCCAGCACTTGAATTCAGGTGCTAAATTAACCAGCCTGTAATCGATATGTGGGTCTGTGGACCATCAGCAGCAACAGCCTGGTTGACCAGGCAAGCACCAGATGAGCCTGACCTATGGTCAGGCTCTGGGAGTAGAAAAACTCTGGGAACTCGTCAAAGGCATATCAAAGGTACTATATATATTACATATTAAATTCATGATGCCCCTGGTGGGTAAAACCTTTTTCCTCAATAAATATCCATATGCTGCAAAATATATCTCCACTTGTATGCATGAAAAGGAAATGTTAAATGTCAATAAACAAAAGTTACATATATAAAAAAGGCTAACTAGAAGTAATATTAAGAACGAGAAATAAATAACAAAGCATGAAACTTAAGTGAACATTTATATCACAATACCTTGAGTGGCATGGTGACTTCAGAGTCATTATCATTGTATAGTAAGATGTTTTCTTTCATGTCAAAGCTTTCACGAACACCAAGATGGTAGAAGAGAGAATGCTGCTGTAAAACAATTGACAGGTCCACAATGGCAACATCAGCATTGTAGAACTGGTCTAGAACATTGGTTTCACCAAAGTCTAGCTTTTCAAACTGAAAATTGAAGAACCACAGCATAAGACACATATAAAACAAAAACTACAAGTAAACAATACAGCATTACAATCACAGTGCATATCATTACAATTCTGATATCCTTGTAATGACTGAAATGATAAAACTTCAAAGCTATTAGAAGGTAAATAAAACAAACTACAGTGGAGACTGTGTATAACAGTGTATAGCATATGAACCAGTGACATCCACCATGCTACTATACTTGTTTTGTAACTTTCCATTCTCCAATTACATTTCTCTCACAAAGGCACCAACCAACTTCAAATCTATGGTTATGGTGGCTAATAACTAACTTAATTGAACTTAAGTGTCATCACTATCCTCCTGTGAAAGAAAGCAGCACAAACATATACAAGCTTTTTTATTTTTAAAAACACCGGGTCACCCACCAAGGAAGGATGACCCAAAAAAGAAGAAACACTTTCACCATCACTCACTCTATCACTGTCTCGCCACAGGCATGCTGATACTACAGTTCAAACGTCCCTCCAAACTGCAAATATCCCCACCCTTCCTTCAGAGTGCAGGCACTGTACTTCCCACTTCCAGGACTGAAGTCTGGCTAACCAGTTTTCCTTAATCACTTCACAAATTGTCACCTTGTTCATACTCCTACAGCTTGTCAAGTCATAAAAACTACTTGCCTCCATTCACTTTTATATAACACACTCACAAAAGAAAGGGTTACTAGCCCCTTGTTCCCAGTATTTTAGCTGTCTTCTATGACACTCATTGCTTACAGGGAAAGGATTCTAGCCCACTTCCCCATGGAATTGACTGGAAATACTACAAGGGCAAGAACTATTAAAAAATTAGAAGGAAATTCAAGTGAGTGTAAATACATGACACATGCCTCAACATATACAGTATATGTAGTGTATACTGTATGTCAGCAGTAATAGCAGCACCAAGATTTACCTGTCATCTTACCTGTTTATGAGACAGATAGACAGACACACCAGCATTTTTGCCAAAATGTAAAATATTTAACAGGCTTCCATTTTACATTCACATGGCAAGACAGAACCACCTGTCTCATTAGGTGGTGTTACCATGAGCATGCTTGTGTGAGCATGCTAGATCAGAGTGATTGGAGACTGTATGATAGTTTTTATGGTTTGACACACTGTTGGAGTGTGACCAAGATAACATTAATGAAGAGATACAAGGAAACCAGTTAGATGGACTTGCTTCCAGGAGACAGAAAGTATAGTGCCTGCACTCTAAGGAAGGGAAGGGGATGATGCAGTTCATAGGATCATTTGCACTGTGATGTCTGCACACTTGTGGCAAGACAGCTATGGAATGACTAGGGGTGAACCTGATTCCTGTTTTGAGGGTTAACCATACCTTGGTGGGAGATTGTTAATTGATAAAAAAACTTGACAAAAATTAAGATTTATGTGTGGGACGACATATGAAAATACAGTTAGTATTTTTAACTTGGAAAATGTCTATTTCTGCATATTTTTTGACCAAATAAGAGAATGTCAAATATGTGTTTCCCAAAGCACAACTGACACGTAGCAATATAAAAAGCGACAAAATATAAACCAAGACAAAGAACTCAGTGGATGTAGTAAGTAGCCCAGTGTGATACACTTCTGAAAATTTGTGGATAAACAAATTCTTAGTTAATAGATGACAAACTTGCTTGACAGGATATGATGAAACCATTTCCTTCACTACTGTACTAACACACATTTACACTCACTGCACAACTACATGTCAATAACAAATCTCTACAATGTTATCAGAATTTTTATTTTATGCCAAAATTTTTTAATAAATTTCTAAAATCAATAAAAAGCAGATAAGGTAAACAAACACACAAACGCACACACACACAAGAGCATCATTACATTCAAGTATAGAAATTTATTTTTTGAATACTGTAGTTAATTTTCATAAACAGTATGGTGTTACAACACTGGCTATTTCCCACCAAGATAGGGTGACCAAAGAAGGAAACACATTCACCATCATTCATCCATTAGCTGTCTTGCCAGAAGTGTGCAGATATCACAATTCAAATAAGCCTCCAAACTACAAAATTCCTTCTCATCCTTTAGATGTAGGCTTTATACTTGCCCTCTGGGACTCAAGTTCAATAAGCTACTGCCCTGAATTCCCTCACAAATGTTGCCTTTACATAATCAATAAAAAACTTACTATACAACATAAGGCAATGTTAATGATATGCTATGACTAAAAGTTTGGCATTTCATTTTCTAGATATTTTGTGAACAGAAATGGATTTCAAAGTTTTCACTACTTCAAGATCCATTGAATATCTTCAATTATTCACTATATAGATGTGACTCATACCAAAAGTCGAGAGAATCTTTCCAAAACAACTTCTTTGCAAGTGAAAAAAAAAATGCTTCAAATTTTAATGAATGTCATTATGTACCTGAATATGGTAGCAGTTGGCATTAACAGCAAGACAGCTGGCTTTGACCTCTTCCCATGCTTTTCTGCGATGATTCTGGCACTCTGTGTGACTCAAATCCAGCACGCAGACTACATCCATGCGTGCCCGAATGCCAGCCAGTATGACTGACTGACCAGAATGGTCACTCTTGCTGCCCAGGCTGTCTGTCATCGTGCATACCTAATAATAAGACAAAAAAAAATTACAATCCTGAAAAATTCTGGATTAATACATCATTAGCAGGAAAATGTGTAAGGAAACAAGAAGTTATGATGTGAAGTATCTACAACACCTAGGTGTGTTTAGTATAGCAAACTTATTACAAAATACCTGGTAAATCAGAAATACAAGTACAGCATTATAAAAAAAATAAAACACCTTAAACTACAATCAATCCTATCACTCTTATAATAAATTATTTTAAATAGTCTTCAAGAAAAAAGTAATGCATTTCAATCTCAATTAATAACACGAGAGACGATTCACTTACACGAGGGGTTGATGCAAGATCTTGCACCAGCCTCCCCTGAGAGCCTAATACTAAACCCACCACAATCATGTGTACATGACATTTGCCAGCATTTGCCAGTACTTCATATAATACACATACACACATATCAGTATTATGCAAACATCAACTATTGAAAACACCTTCAAATAACCTTTACTGAAAAATTCTACTAAAAAAAATTAGATAATCTGCCGTTAGCAGTAATAATAGCATCAAGAAACATTTGCTCATTGCAATATAAACCTTAATTAAAAAATTGTAGTATCTGGTCTATCTAGACTTGAAAGTGATGTTGCACAATATATTCCCAGAAGGATGAATCAAGATGTGGCTACTCAGAACATCTTGTGTATTTTTCAGGACTTATGAAATGTATCTCTTATGAATACTACTATTATTTATACATAGTATTTACAGCATATAACACTTAAACATAATGTGCAAATGTGTGTGTGCAGATACACATGTGCATGCAAAGAGAGAGAGAATATGAGAGAGATATCAACTTGATCAACCAGGTTGTTGCTGTTAGCCACACATCCATCAAAGAAATGGAGTAAATGGGATACAAATTTTTTTTTTCACAAACTGACTGACCAATGGAATGAATTAAAAACAAGAGTTAGTAAGTTGTACAAACACTGGAAACTTTAAAAGAAATATGATGAGACAACACAGTCATACAAGCATGGGGAAATGGGAGGCAATCAGGTATGTATAATCCAAGAAATAATAGCTCAGGTCCAATTCCATGGATCAAGAGCCCTTTACTAGCATCAAGGAGCCTTCTCTTATGGGACCATAAGCACAGCTCCTGTCTCATAGATACAAATAAGTAATTGTTGACACACACACACACACCACGACGACGACGACATTGGAGGACAGGAGAGATAGGGGGGATATGATAACGACTTACAAAATACTGAGAGGAATTGACGAGGTGGACAAAGACAGGATGTTCCAGAGACTGGACACAACAACACGGGGACACAGTTGGAAGCTGAAGACACAGATGAATCACAGGGATGTTAGGAAGTATTTCTTCAGCCACAGAGTAGTCAGGAAGTGGAATAGTTTGGGAAGCGATGTAGTGGAGGCAGGATCCATACATAGCTTTAAGCAGAGGTACAATAAAGCTCATGGTTCAGGGAGAGTGACCTAGTAGCGACCAGTGAAGAGGCGGGGCCCAGGAGCTTGGACTCGACCCCTGCAACCTCAACTAGGCGAGTACAACTAGGTGAGGCGAGTACATGCACACATACATACAGAAATCTATGGTCAAAATAATAGACAACAAGCAAGACAGGCAAGACTAGGTCAACTACATTATAGTATTGTGTAAATATTCTTGGATTACAGAAAAGCATTCAACACTACCCCACCAGAGACTGATTCAGAAATATGAGGAGCAAGCAGGGGAGAAAAACTGAAGTGTTAATGTGGATGAAGGAATATCTAGCAAACCAAAAATGGAGGGTGATGTTATGGGAAGATGTGTCAAAATGGGAAAGTGTAACAAGTAGGGTTACACAAGGATCATTACTATTCAATATATATGTAAATGACCTGCCAGACAGGATTGAATCCTATGTACAGTACTGTATCACTGTTTGCTGATGACAAAGCTAATGAGAATCATAAGAACGGAAAAGGATGGAGACAGGCTACAAGCCACTTGAATGAGCTGCAAAGGTGATTCAATGAGTAATTACAAGAGATTAACCCAAATAAGTACAAGGTCATGTATAAATGCAGCTTCCCCTCACTCAACGACAGAGTTCCATCCCTAAGACCTCTTCGGTAAACGAATTCGTCGCTAAGTGAAGAGCATATTATAATGGTAATGGGTTTGTGTCAATCATCTCTGATATTGTTTTAACCCTTTGACTGTTTCAATTGTATACTATATACATCTTATGAGCCACCGTGTTTGACGTATATATACTCAACAATTCTAGCAGCTTCAAATCAAGCAGGAGAAAGCTGGTGGGCCCACCACTGCAGCACGCAGAGCATAATGAAAAAAACTCCGACTGTGTTTTTGGATTAAAACGCCGACTTTGTGGTGTATTTTCATATAGTATTTATGGTTGTATTCTCGTTTTCTTGGTCTCATTTGATAGAATGGAAAACATATTATAGAAATAGAAGTGATTCTGATTGGTTTTACTATGAAAAGAACCTTGAAATGGAGCTCAAAGTAGGGGAAATATTTTATTTTTCTCCATGTTCAAAAGTAAATAAATAATGTCATTGTCCAATAAATGTCCAACTAGCCATTCTAATATGCAGTCAGGAATGGGTTGACATTATTTATACAATTATTACAATATTGCAGTAGTCTGCATAATAGTAAATCTTCCATTTTTTATGACCAAAACTCTATACGGCTCCCCGTCTTTCTAATATGGCGCGCACCACCCAGTTTATTTACATTCTCCATAAGCACCATGTCTCTTCATTATGTTTGGAAACTTTCCAAAATTTCAAGTGCTTTAAAGGTATTTCGTATTTTATATACGTATATTTTTATTACATTGTATTATTATTATCACACTGGCCGATTCCCACCAAGGCAGGGTGGCCCGAAAAAGAAAAACTTTCACCATCATTCACTCCATCACTGTCTTGCCAGAAGGGTGCGTTACACTACAGTTTTTAAACTGCAACATTAACACCCCTCCTTCAGAGTGCAGGCACTGTACTTCCCATCTCCAGGACTCAAGTCCGGCCTGCCGGTTTCCCTGAACCCCTTCATAAATGTTACTTTGCTCACACTCCAACAGCACGTCAAGTATTAAAAAACATTTGTCTCCATTCACTCCTATCAAACACGCTCATGCCTGCCTGCTGGAAGTCCAAGCCCCTCGCACACAAAACCTCCTTTACCCCCTCCTTTACGTATAATCTGATAATTATACTTATGTGTACCTGTACCTAAGTAAACTTATACACTGTGCTGGCGTGCAAGTACACATTAAAATCACTAAGAGTGTCTTATTAGTCTTGAAGATGCCTAACTTCTTACAATAAATACTACTCACTTCTCACCCTACATTAAGACTACAAATATTTTGAGGTAAGTAATGAGTGTACTGTGTATGTATTAAACTTTTTATTGTTTTTAATACCTTGTTCTATTGCTAACTTAATATATGTTAGTGTAAACTTATCCGACATTTATAAGTGGAAACAAATGGCGTTCTGCTGTCTGGCGATGTCTGCTCTCCGGCAGTAGCCTGGAACCTAACCTGCCATAAAAGTTGGACCCTAATGTACACATAAGAACAATTATCAAACATAGTGTAAATCACCAAGAACTGAAAATGTAGCTAGACATATGAAATTTAAACAGTGTGTGGTTTATTTTGTGCTGAGGGATCAGGGTTTGATCCACAGATGGGTGGAAACATTGGTCATGTTTCCTTACACCTACTGTCACTGTTCACCTAGCAGTAAGTAGGTACCTGGGTGTTAGTCACCTTACACCTGGAAACAAGTGAGTGCCTTTTTTTTTGGGGGGGGGGTTATCCTTGGCAATTTACAGTATGTATGATAATTGTACCTATGTGCACCTGTGCGTAAATAAACTTACTAAATAGGTACCTGGGTGTTAGCCAATTAGTGTGGGTCACATTTTAAGGTTTAAAGAACCCCAATGGAAACAAGCCAGTCTAATGACAATGCTTCACTGAACTATCTTGGGTTACTAGCACTCCAGGATAATAATCCTAACAAAATCCTCCTTTTCTACATACTACAATTCTAAGTTAAATAAGGAACCCAATGTAAATAAGTCACTTTTGACTTTTTTACGGGGTTATCCAAGGTAATTTACACACATATTACTATGTACGATAATTTGTGTAAGTGTATATATGTGTAGGTGTACGTAAATAAACTCAAGTGACTTACTAAGTTTATAAATGAACATGTCAAGCCTGGCAGTACCTACACCTCACACCTCGCACCTCACACACTAATATAACATAAAGCTCCACCACTCTTGCTTCACTTGTAAAGCCACAACCACACATGACCTCAGGTAAAGCCATTTACCTTTCCATTTCTGGTGTAAAATGCTGGAGATGAGGTCAGGTGGAGCAGAGCTCCTCACACACGCCATGAAAACAATGGGGAGCGGCTATTATCCTGCCTCCACACCTCCACCTTATGTTCATCAGGTACCATTAATAAATAATAATAATAATAATAATAATAATAATAATAATAATAATAATAATAATATCTTTATTTACTACAAGTACATGTATTAGGTATGATAAATTAGACACATGTGCAACACTTGGGTATCTACTGAGGAAACGTTTCGCCACACTGGATTCATCAGTCCATACAAAGGAGAATGGTGAAGAACAAGAGGAGTTTGAGGTAATCAGTCCCTCAGCCTTGAGTCGATGTGGTCAGTCCATCAATCTTGAAAAGAATACAGCATATCTCCTGTCTACGGTATATAAGCTACTTCTCCGCACATATGCTTTATTCTTTTCAAGACTGATGGACTGACCACATCGACTCAAGGCTGAGGGACTGATTACCTCAAACTCCTCCTGTTCTTCACCATTCTCCTTTGTATGGACTGATGAAGCCACTGTGTGGCGAAACGTTTCCTCATTAAAGATACCCAAGTATTGTACATGCGTCTGACTTATCAACTTGTCTGTTCTCTGAACCATTCATCTACATGTACAACTTATACAGACCATAGCTGACATCAATGACATACTACTATACAGAAAGCCGCTTGTTATGCAGAGAATTTCGAGCAAATTAGGTCAATTTTGTCCCCAGGATGCGACCCACACCAGTCGACTAACGCCCAGGTACCCATTTTACTGATAGGGAACATAGACAACAGGTGTAAGCAAACACGCCCAATGTTTCTACCCTCGCCGGGAATCGAACCCGGATATCGCTGTGTGGAGATATATCTTTAGCATGGGAGGGGGAAGCCCTAAACATATAGGGGACATAAAACACTTGGGCAGGTGAACCTGAATGATCCAAGGAATGGGAGAGCAGCTCCCATCCCTTGAATTGGGAGAGCGCCTTATTAGTCAGGAACCCCAATGAAAATAAATCACTATTGTATTGTATTGATTTTTTTAGGGTTATCCTAGGTAATTTATTCTATGTATGATAATTGTAATTGTGTACCTGTACCTGAATAAACTTGCTCAATCCCGGTGTCCCTCACTGAGGGTTACTGTGGAGAGTTCAGCTCACAACCAAGAACTTCCAGGTTCGAACCCCAGACGAGGTTAGGTGATGGGTAACATGTGTCACTACTTGTGATATGTTGCTTCACTATCTCACACTTGCTGCTTCTGTTTACCTAAATTACATCTGGTGGCTCTGTTCCCCTAGTGTACACCTGCTACCTTTGTTCCCCTAGTGTACACCTGCTACCTTTGTTCATCTAGTGTACACCTGCTACCTTTGTTCATATAGCTTACACCTGCTACCTTTGTTCATCTAGTGTACACCTGCTACCTTTGTTCATATAGCTTACACCTGCTACCTTTGTTCATCTAGTGTACACCTGCTACCTTTGTTCATCTAGCTTACACCTAAATTACATCTGGTGGCTCTGTTCCCCTAGTGTACACCTGCTACCTTTGTTCATCTAGTGTACACCTGCTACCTTTGTTCATCTAGCTTACACCTGCTACCTTTGTTCATCTAGCTTACACCTGCTACCTTTGTTCATCTAGCTTACACCTGCTACCTTTGTTCATCTAGCTTACACCTGCTACCTTTGTTCATCTAGCTTACACCTGCTACCTTTGTTCATCTAGCTTACACCTGCTACCTTTGTTCATCTAGCTTACACCTGCTACCTTTGTTCATCTAGCTTACACCTGCTACCCTTTGTTCATCTAGCTTACACCTGCTACCTTTGTTCATCTAGCTTACACCTGCTACCTTTGTTCATCTAGCTTACACCTGCTACCTTTGTTCATCTAGCTTACACCTGCTACCCTTTGTTCATCTAGCTTACACCTGCTACCTTTGTTCATCTAGCTTACACCTGCTACCTTTGTTCATCTAGCTTACACCTGCTACCTTTGTTCATCTAGCTTACACCTGCTACCTTTGTTCATCTAGCTTACACCTGCTACCTTTGTTCATCTAGCTTACACCTGCTACCTTTGTTCATCTAGCTTACACCTGCTACTCTTTGTTCATCTAGCTTACACCTGCTACCCTTTGTTCATCTAGCTTACACCTGCTACCTTTGTTCATCTAGCTTACACCTGCTACCTTTGTTCATCTAGCTTACACCTGCTACCCTTTGCTCATCTAGCTTACACCTGCTACCTTTGTTCATCTAGCTTACACCTGCTACTCTTTGTTCATCTAGCTTACACCTGCTACTCTTTGTTCATCTAGCTTACACCTGCTACCCTTTGTTCATCTAGCTTACACCTGCTACCTTTGTTCATCTAGCTTACACCTGCTACCTTTGTTCATCTAGCTTACACCTGCTACCCTTTGCTCATCTAGCTTACACCTGCTACCTTTGTTCATCTAGCTTACACCTGCTACTCTTTGTTCATCTAGCTTACACCTGCTACTCTTTGTTCATCTAGCTTACACCTGCTACTCTTTGTTCATCTAGCTTACACCTGCTACTTTTTGTTCATCTAGCTTACACCTGCTACTCTTTGTTCATCTAGCTTACACCTGCTGCCCCTTGTTCATTTAGCTTACACCTGCTACTCTTTGTTCATCTAGCTTACACCTGCTGCCCCTTGTTCATTTAGCTTACACCTGCTACTCTTTGTTCATCTAGCTTACACCTGCTGCCCCTTGTTCATTTAGCTTACACCTGCTACCCCTTGTTCATTTAGCTTACACCTGCTACCCCTTGTTCATTTAGCTTACACCTGCTACCCCTTGTTCAACAAGCTTACACCTGCTACCCCTTGTTCATTTAGCTTACACCTGCTACCCCTTGTTCAACAAGCTTACACCTGCTACCCCTTGTTCATTTAGCTTACACCTGCTACCCCTTGTTCAACAAGCTTACACCTGCTACCCCTTGTTCATCTAGCTTACACCTGCAACCCTGATACCTGGATAATCTTTCTGATACCTGGATATTGTTCCTGACACCTGGATAATCTTCCTGACAGTGAAATAATTTTCCTGATACCTGGATCAGCTTGACTGTCGTGGCTGGCATCCCCAGGAAGGGGTAAAAAGGACATCAGTGAAAAAAAAAACAGTTCTCATGACACATAGACTTTACTGAATTATCCTGGGTTGGTAACCCTCCAAAGTCTCATCCTAATTAATGAAAGTTTGATTGCTAGAGCACTCCAGCTCACACACTGAGGTCCATGGTTCGATCTCCGGTACAGGTGGAAACATTAGGACGTGTTTCCTTAAGACACCTGCTGTCCATGTTCACCTAGCAGTAAAATAGGTACCTAGGTGTTAACTGATGTGGGTGGCATCATGGGGACAAAATTTGACCTGATTTGCCTGAAATGCTCAGCATAACAAGGGACTTTCTATATAGTAGTATGTCATTGATGTCAGCTATGGTCTGTATCCCTTGTACATGTACTTGTAGAAATTAAGATTATTATTATAGTTTGTAGCTGGCGGTGTGTCTTGAGGCGTGATAATGGCCGCTCCCCGGCCAGGCCTCCACCACCTCCCGTTTTCTACTACATAAGAGTGAAGGTGGTAGTTCAGGAGCTGAACATTTAGTCAGGTGTTGGACACTGTTGTAGTCGAGTTCTGTTCCTCCTGCTGCTCTACCTTCACATTATTACTACCACCATGTCTAAAGACCACCTCAATGTATGACTTTTTGTCCGTTTAGTTACTGTTAATTGTCAGTTTGCTATTAACTGTGAGGTAACTAATAATGGGGAGGTTATTACTGCTTGTAATATTACTCTTGATTGTAAGATTATTTGTGAGATTACTATTAATTAAGCTTACTATTGTGAAGTATATTAATTGTGATATATCTAACTATTGACTGAGAGGCAATATTAAATCTGGTAATTATAGAGGAGATCAGGTACTAATATAAGTTTACCCATAGTGGTTTACCTTATTCCACCCCTCAGTTGTTGGTTGTCATAATAGGGGTGATCGCGAGTCGCATTTTAAGTAATAAAGTTGGTAGAATTACCGACAATATGTAAAGTAAAAGGACACAAGTGCAACTAATGTGACATTTATTGTGGCAACGTTTCGCTCTCCAGGAGCTTTATCAAGCCTTTTACTTGACACATTTTAAGTATTAGACTCCCGTAAAGTTATAAAAAACTGGTGTTGCTTGTGAAGTTATCACAGGAGAGATGGTGTGGCTGTCACGTCTAAGACATTTCGATCCTGGAGAGCGAAACGTTGCCATAATAAAATGTCGCATTGGTTGCACTTGTGTCCTTTTGTCTAACAACTAAATAAAATCTTAAACATACGAGTGTGTTGAGTACATTTCATCAGATAAAACTTGTACATTATAGTGTTAAACCCTTCGTATGCAACAATTTAGTTGTACGTAGTTGGTAAAGCTCTCGCTTCACACGCTGAGGGTTCGGGTTCGATCCCCGGCAAGGGTAGGAAACATTGGACGCATTGCCATACACTAAAAGAATCCTTTAGGAGTCAGGAATCGCGGGAAGAACTAAAAGCCATAAATGAAATCGAAAGAAACCCAAAGCATTTCTTCTCCTATACCAAATCAAAATCGAGAACAACGTCCAGTATTGGGCCCCTACTTAAACAAGATGGGTCCTACACAGATGACAGCAAGGAAATGAGTGAGCTACTCAAGTCCCAGTATGACTCAGTTTTTAGCAAGCCGCTAACCAGACTGAGAGTCGAAGATCAAAATTAATTTTTTTATGAGAGAGCCACAAAATTTGATTAACACAAGCCTATCCGATGTTATCCTGACGCCAAATGACTTCGAACAGGCGATAAATGACATGCCCATGCACTCTGCCCCCAGGGCCAGACTCATGGAACTCTGTGTTCATCAAGAACTGCAAGAAGCCCCTATCACGAGCCTTTTCCATCCTATGGAGAGGGAGCATGGACACGGGGGTCGTCCCACAGTTACTAAAAACAACAGACATAGCCCCACTCCACAAAGGGGCAGTAAAGCAACAGC